AATACAAAGGGATTCAAAGATTTTAAATCCCTAGAGACAGCAAGATAAAAAGATAAAATTTTGTCCTACATGTGTACAGAGCTCCAAAATTTGTGCAATCAGTACAACTCATCAGCACATTCTTCCTTTAGTATTGGTGTGTTAATGAAAACAGCAAGATTAGTCCTAAGACTGAAACCTTTGAGAAAGTCCCTGATTACTTCAATTGCTTGTTAGTTTTCCTTTATGAACAACAGCCTTTATCTGTGTAACTTCTAGTTGAGCTGTGTATATGGTTAGATAGCACCAATTTTTAAATTTTTTTTATTGTTTTGTCTTACAGTTTCTAAAAACTCTCTCAGCCTCAATGTAAAAGCCATGTGTTACAAGCAGCAGAAAATATCTTTGCCTGTGCAAGATTATTCCTTGTTTAGAGTTTGTCACTGTTTCCGGATCATTACATACAGTTCAGAAGGAGAATGCTAGCTGCTATATATCCTTAGCTCAATTTTGCAGATCAACTTCTGTACTCAGCATTTCAAATGCACAGTCCCTCCTTCTCTTCCTTCAGTTTTGCAAACTTCTTTCCTGCTATATTTCTCCTTCTCTATGAATGGCAAATTCCTACTTATTTAGCTACAACACTGAACTGATCATTGATGAGTCCAAGAATTATAAAGATGGAATAGATTATGCGAATGCCTAGTCTTCACATGGATGGGTAAAAACACATTTCCCTAAATAAAAAAAAAATAATAATTGAAGTCATCATATATTTCAACAAGGTATACTGCAATGCAGAGAGTGACAATTACAATAATAAGCAACTAAAAATCAAACATAGCTTTACAACTTTTTTCCAAAGACCACCAAAGCATCTGGGAAGAATGAGCTTAAGGAAATGACATGCTGACATTCTGATAGACAGAAGGACAAACTCAGAAGAAGAAAACCACTGCCCACTACAGCAGCCAGCAACTTCATTGCCAGCAACTGATGAGTACAAACATGTACAGCTCTACAGAAGTGTCACTAAGATCAGCTAAGATCAGCATCTCTGAAGAATTTATGGTATTTCTGGAACATTATGATATTACTTTGGTTTGACATGAATAAAAAAACATATAACCCAAATCACCCACACAACTTATTTGGAAATGCAATCTTAACAAGACCTCTGAAATACTATTTGAGAATAGAAACAATTTATGACAACTTTGTTTAATGATTTCATTACAAAGGCATATAGGAAGTTCCAAATCCTAAACTGCATACACAGTTTGAACTATTAACCTATAAAAATTTTTAACCTGATGAACCTATATCTACATTAAGACACTGAGGGTCTTTCAATGAGCAAGCAAGGGGTGTTTGGCTGTCAATTGTATTTGGCACTGATGAGCTGACAGACAGGCAGCTAATTCCTTCTGAAGGCTCAGAAGTTATACCTTGCACGTACATAGCTGACAAGCCTGTGCTTATGGTAAAAGCTATCATGCAGGTGACAGCCAGTCACAGAACTGTGACGGAAAAGACCTAGATATTAGTCGTGCACCGAGAATTTTCTGCTGTCTTTCCCTGCCATATGATAACACAGAACAGGTTTTGAGGGAAACTGCATACAATGGAAACTCTCTGAATGCTGGTTTCTCTTTGAACGCTGCAGATAAGTAGCGGGATGTGATATGAGGTTCCTTAGCAAGTGAGAGGACAGCACAATGAAGAATAACTGCTGTTATGAGAGCTGCAGCCCATGCACAGCTCAACTGGAGATATAGGGTGCAGCAGGAACATTTCCCCACTGCAGGCCTCAGTACACTTAGAGGTGGAAAATCATTCAAAAGATGGTGCGTGCATCCAGGTCCTACCATACCAGATCAGCCTGCTAGTCTTACTCACTAGAGCGAAGTTAAGGGGACCAGGACATCTGGATGGTGTGCTAGGCGATATGGTTTAGTAGCTCAGTGGTAGTAATGGTGATAGCAGGACAGTTGGACTAGATGATCTTGTGGGTCCTTTCCAACCTTGTGTTTCAATGATTCTATGAAAGGAAATTTTCAGCATCTCAGAACAAAGGTGAACAACTGGAGATGTGGTCCAAATGGCAATGATCACTCTCATCGTGTCAGAAGCTCAACAGAGGTAGGCACAGCACTTCTTACATTGATGTCAGACATGTCTTCAGCAGAACATGTAACACCAAAATCACTTAAAAACTTAACTGCTGCTCTACAGCAAGACAGGACTGCTTTATATCCACCTGCACAATTTTACAGCTCCTCCCAAAGCCTTGAAACCTCTCACAAAAGAGTCAAGTTCGAAAATGAAACATGCTTTCTTACAAGCCCGTTCAGTGTAAGAAAAACGCTAGGAGTGAAACTTCTTAATAGTCTAATTCCCATCTTATATATAAAATTCAGTTTTAGAAAAAATACTAAAGTTTAGAGATAAAGGATAAATTAAAGTAGTCAAAGAAAAACAATACTTTTATGTGTTTAAGTGATATAACTGAGGGAAATCAACTTTGAAAATTATTACAAGTTTTGGCCTCAGAAAGTCACAGAGAATGACATCATAACCTGCATTTAAACAAGGCAGCATATTAGCCAGAGATGTATCAGCACTGCCATACAAATACAATTCATAAATCTAATTATAAGTTGTTATAAGTTGATAATTATAGAACAGAAAGAGTGTGTTCATACCATGTCTATTAAGCATTTTCATAACCATTGAACCTCGAAATGTAATAGAAAAAATAAAGAGAAAATGCTACAGCTACAGAACTGCCTGTAAATATCAGTGGTTCTGTGGGGTTTAAAGAAGAAAGACAAAAGGAAAGAGTGCTGTTGTAAATATATCCACAGCTTTTAATTACAGATATGAAGTAGAGCCTACTAAATCTATAGAAGCCTTCTAAAGCACATGCAGTTTGCTCAGTAGAATAGCTGAACTGGATTCTCACTAAAATGCCCAATCTGGATTTTAGAAGGCAATGCATTCAACCTTCTGTTTCCAGTCATCAGGACAGATTAACCACAATTTTAGTTAATGTCTTTGACCTAAAAACCTTTCAAAACTGAGTCTTCTTTGAGACATAACAATACAAATGGATGCTTGATCACTAAGTGATGCTTTAAAAGGTTTCAATAATAGAAACATCCAGCTAAAGCAAGAAGCAACAGAGTGTGTAGCAACAGAACCATCACCACAAGTTCTCTATAGTGCAGTGTCATTTCCATCTCTTCACTTACTATGGCATGCCATGCCTAACAGAGATGAAAAAATGAATCCATTCTATAGACTTTATTTAGATAAAGTTCCCTGACACAATGGTGATAATCCTTCTTAAAGGAAAATGGAAACACTTGTCATCTAATCCTTGATGAGCCAAGCACATCAGAGGAATTGGCTTAAAGATTTCCCTTCCTTTGTCTCTGGGAATATGTAAGCCATGTTTTTTGTGATGGCATAGATCTGCTATCACTTTCATCACTTAAATGAGGCAGAATACTTTCTGAGTCTTTAGCAATATCTTGGTATGAAGCTGGTGTGAAGGGGAGTCAGAACTGTGATTATTTCACAATGATGATACGACTGCTTAAAGGACCTACATCTGCTTTACAGAATCCTAGTTAGTTTCATGCACATAGAGTTTAACATTCCCCCTTCTCACTCAGCACTACACAAGTCTATTTGACACAATTGCTCATAAGTGAATATAACTTAATAAACAACATCCATAAACCTTACTACAAAAAAGTAACATCTCTTAACCATTGGTTTGCTGCCCTCAGATACATAAAATAAGTTATGATGCTTTAATTTCTGTCAATAAGTCACTGGCACTCCATCACATGTATAAAACCTAACAGAACAATACAGCACATTTATTAAAAATACAAAAGGAAATGTACCTTCAGCTTCACAAACACAAAGAAAAAATTTACCTTATCTCCTCATGTAAATTAAACCACTGCAACTGAAATACCAAATGAATTCTCTTCAGCACCACTTGCCCTTTACCTGGCAGCTGGACAAATCAGCAAGCAAGTCAGAAAGACTAGACAGAACAGTGGGCACAATTTTTTACTGAGTATCACACTGAAAGGCACAGGGGATTGCAAAGGATCTTGGCAATTTCTGCTTCCTTTACTTTCACTCCATTCACACTCTACTCAAACTGCTATGTGTTAGAGCTTCCCTCTCTCTATAGGCTCATTTTTGCTGACCATCGTGAATTAGCTATACACATGGAAAGAAGCATTCCACCCTTCACCGGGCACCCCATTCCCTTTTATTTTGTGTAACAGTTAGGTTACATTAGTATATATGGAAAATCTATGCAACAGCACAAAACATTCTGCGTATGAATTCATTCAGTATGAATGCTGATGAAGCTCAAGTTGTAGTGACAGTGCACATCACTGATAACCATGGCCTGGCAGCAGCTCAAGACAGTTGCATGTGACAGGAAACTCAGGAGCAGGCAGGTCAGCCTTCTGCCTGCTGGAACAGGAGAGGTAGCTCAGCAGTGAGTGGGAGCAGGAGCACTAGCAAATGCCAACAGAATATTCATATTATTTCAGGAAAACCTAACTACCTGAAGACATTTATCTAGGTGCACACTTCAAGGGAAAAATAAATCTGTTGTGTGAAAGTAATATTCTATCTTTATTGCTCTGTATCTCCACATGGCAAAGGAATTAACATATTTTTCAAGAACTTTTACCATTGTTTCTTGTTGCTATAATCTGCAGTAATACACCTTCTACTTCTCGAGCTGGTGCTATGAAACTACACCTAACACAGGAGTCAGGCAGTAATGCAGCTCCTGTTTTCACTTTAAGCACCACTACAGTGAGAGGCAGAGCCCATCTAAGTCTGTAAGTTACTTCACATCCAAAGACCCAAAGACACCAAAGGGAGCTAAAAACACCTAATAACCAATGGGAGCATTACGGAGTTGGATCCTACAACACTCTAACACACACAAACACATCCAAGGGATAGTGCTTTACCTTAACCTTGTAGTAAGCCTTGACTTCAGGCAGGATGGAGTCGAAGTCACCACTGATGTAATCAGGCAAGAAGCTGAAAGAAAAGAAATGAGCAATGAAATGAAAAACTTAATTTTATTTTTTCAAGAGTTTCAAGGAGTAGAAGCATTAATCTCTCAAGGGCATAGGAGACAGTTACAAGAAAGTTAAAAGAGCAGCTGACACAAAATAATGTCACAGACAAACAAACTGTGTCCCTTTTCTGCTAAAGGAGCTGCACACTGGCAAGGTGTTTACACATCTCCAGAAGTCTGTAAGGCAATACTTGTACCTGCAAGTTCTCTCAAATATCTTTGTAGTGTATCATACCAGAAAACTACCTGAACAATCACAGAATCGTAGAATCATTACAGCTGAAAAAGACTTCTAAGATAATCATGTTCAACTGTACACCTATCAGTAATATTGCCCACTAAATCATAGTAATAACATTGCCCATTAAATCCCTAAGTGCCACATAGAATCATGATGGTGACTCTACCACTTTCCTGGGCAGCCTGTTCCAGCACCTGAAACAAGTTTATCTTTGTGCTGCACATCAAGTCTTTGCAGATAAAACATGTCAGGAGATGGTGATGATAGATCTTGAACAGCTGATATCTCACAAATGAGGTACTTTTTCCCTTTTCCCTCTCCTTCCTCCTATTTACATATTTATTACAAATCCTTGAGCAAGGTAAATTCAGTGCAGCATTTTGGAATTTGGACAGCAATTACAGATACTGCAGTCTGAAGTCAGGGGCAAAGAATAATAATGGTTCAAATGAGACTAAGGAGCCATGACAGAAGTCATCTGAGACAGGAGTTTTCTGTAACAAAATAAAGGTCTTCAGCAAAGGTCCCAAATTGGTTTCTTTCACTTTCAAAACACAGAATCATACAATCATAGAAACAGGAAGGTTTGAAAAGATCACTAAGATCAACCCACCACTACTATGCTCACTAAACCATGCCTTTCAGTGCAAACATCTACCTTTTTCTTGAAAACCTCCAGCGGTGGTGATACTATCCACCTCCCTGGGAATCCTGTTCCAATACTCCACCACTTTTTTGGAGAATAAATTTTTCCTAAAGTCCAACCTGAACATCCCTTCACACCATTAAGCCATTACCTCTTGTCTTATCACTAGCTACCTGTAAGAAGAGGCTGACCTCCAGCTCACTACAACCTCTTTCCAGGTAGTTGCAGAGAGGGACATGAACTCTCTCCCGATTCTTCTCCAGACCAAACAATCCCAATTTCCTCAGCCACTCCTCATAAGACATGCTCCACACCCTTCACCAGCTTTGTTGCTCTTCTTTGGACACAGTTCATGGCCTCATGGACTTTCTTGTAGTGAGCAGACCAAAACTGAACACAGTTTTCAAGGTGCAGCCTCCACAGTTCTGAGTGCAAAGGGACAATCACCTTCCTAATCCTGCTGACTACACTATTTCTGACAAAGGCCAGGACTCTCTCTCCAAGAGCTTGTGTTCATGGTTTTTAAGCAAATCACTCTGTGATAAAAGTCCCTTGGCATGAACCTCCAGATCTGCTCAAGGCTTATGCTGAAACGGCGGTTTTGCTGGCTTCTAAACCTGCTGCTGATCCTATGATAGTTTTTATTGACATGATAAGGTTTAAGAGCTTTTGTGGACTGTCAAAGTACTGTAAATAATCTTCTCAGTTTAGCATGCAAAGATCACAGAATCATAGAAGCATACAATTGCAAGGCCTCAAAGGACCTCAAAGGACCTCAGAAAAAAGGACCTCAAAGATCATCCAGTTTCAATCCCTCTGCTGTGTGCAGGTCACCAACCAGCAGACCAGGCTGCCCAGAGCCACATCCAGCCTGGCCTTGAATGCCTGCAGGGATGGGGCATCCACAGCCTCCTTGGGCAACCTGTTCCACTGCATCACCACCCTCGGGGTGAAAAACTTCCTCCTAATATCCAACCTAAACCTCCCCTGTCTCACTTTAAAACCATTCCCCTTGTCCTGTCACCATCCACCCTCACAAACAGCCGTTCCCCCTCCAGTTTATACGCTCCCTTCAAGTACTGGAAGGCCACAATGAGGTCTCCCCCAAGCCTTCTCTTCTCCAAACTAAACAAGCCCAGTTCCCTCAATCTTTGTTCATAGGAGAGGTGCTCCAGTCTCTAATCATCAAATGATGTGCAACCTTCTTCTAGCTAAACCGAGTTTTTGAAGTTTGCTAATCTTGTGTCATGTAGAAATGTATTCAATACAGTTCTTATTCTCCTAGTGATTTGCTTCACAAAAAATCTGATGAATAGTAGGATCAGTCTGTTTTGCCACTGTGATATGCTCCAATTCACTAACCATGATGCTCATTTTCTCTCATTCTCCTGTGCTGAAGAGAATACAGGATTGCTAACACTTTTTCTCTGAGAAAAAGTTCTTCCTTATGTCCAACCTAACCTTCTCTGGTACAACTTGTATCCATTTCTCCAGGTCCTGCTCGTTGCCTGGGAGAAGAGGCCAAACCCCTCCTCATCACAGCCTCCCTTCAGGAGGTTGCAGAGTGCAGTGAGGTCTCCCCTGAGCCTCCTCTTCTCCACACTGAACAATCCCAGCTCCCTCAGTCGCTCCTCATAAGATTTGTGCTCCAGACCCCTTACCAGTTTCACTCTTTTTCTCTGGACGTGTTCCAGGGCCTCAAAGTCTTTCTTGTAGTGAGGGGCAAACATCAGCACCCCCAGATAACAAATAAAGAGGGGAAATACCTCAGGTACATATTGAAAAAGAAAGCAACAGCAAATCATACTAAAGTATCTTTGAGGATACTTCGCAATAAATAGTTTTCACTTCTTTGCTTTTGGCAGAGTTTTGTATTTACTCCAGAATACAGAATAGTCCAGGAGAACAGGCCCTGGAGAATCACACTGTCAAACTTGCCACAGGTGAGTGGAAGAAATGACATCAGAGAAAAGAAATCAGAAGGGCCTCTCCATAAAGTCTGTAACACCATCCCTCATTGAAAGTATGAATTAAAAGCAGGTATTTTATTAGTCTTTTCCTCTGAACTCTCTTTCATGAAGAACTCTGCATCATAACTGTATATGAGATGATCACTTCTGTCAGTGACATATATAGCACACATCCTTTAGTAGAGGAAGTTATCTTTTTGCCCAAGATGGAAAAAGATATCTATAATTCCTTTCCAAAATTCCTCTTAAATTTTCATATCTGAATAGTTTAGTTGATGCATTCTAAGGCATTTTAGAACCATGTGCTAACAGTCTCATTTAGCTACTAAGTAGCACTCTGCATATTAGGCTATGATCAGCTTACCTGGCTTGATTCTCTACTGCTTTATGCTGACATTTATCAGGAACAAGCCAACTCCATAATCCTGCTGGGGCTGAACATGCGACATTCACTCTAGATCAGCACAATCTAGGCCCTTCCTAAAGCTGTTAAGGAGCAGAACACCAGGTACTAAGAACAGAAAAACTTCAGAGGTTTGATTCCCTTTGCTTATTGGTTTTTTCCTTTGTATTTAATTATTGTTATTTTTTTGCTGTTGTTCCAGGTCATTACAGACATACATCAGCCATCTGATAAGTCTGGAGTTTTGAGTGCCAGAATTGCTGAAGGCACTTCTATAGCAGATTTATAAGAAAAGCAAAGAAAAATAAGTAAGCAAATTTCCTATATCAATCTTTCAAAGGTTCAACTAGGTTACCAAAAACCCTAGCACTATCTATTTCTCGTAAGTCTTGAGACCAACCCAAATGGGGCATTTATGCAAACTATATAACAGCTCAGTGTTGACTGAACAGAACACGTTGGTGTACTGATGGACAGTCAGCTGGATATGAGCCGGCAGTGTGCCCAGGTGGCCAAGAAGTCTGATGGCATCCTGGCTTGGATCAGAAACTGTGAGATGAACAGGACTAGGGAAGTAATCCCACCTCTGTACTCAGCACTCGTGAGGCCTCATCTCGAATACTGTGTTCAGTTTTGGGCACCTCTGTACAGAAAGGACATGGAGGTGCTGGAGCAGGTCCAGAGAAGAGCAACAAGGTTTGTGAAGGGCTTGGGGAACAAGTCCTATGAGGAGAGACTGAAGGAACTGGGGCTGTCTAGTCTGGGGAAAAGGAGGCTGAAGGGAGACCGTACTGCTCTCTTTCAATACAGTTAGAGCGGGGTTGGACTCTTCTCACTGCTGACAGGTGAAAGGACGAAGGGAAATGGCCTTAAGTTGCGCCAGGGTAAGTTCAGGATGGATATTAGGAAACACTTCTTTACTTTAACAACCCAAGAAAGGGCTGTTAAGCACTGGAATAGACTCCGCAGGGAGTGGTTGAGTCAGTATCCCTGGAAAAAAAAAAAAAAAAAAAAGATGAAAATATCAGTAGAGTCTGTGCACCCAGTTCTGTAGTACTGGACAGGGAATTTAAAGGAAAATACTTCAGAGAAGTAAATGAATATTCTTTCCAGCAGAATGATTTCTTTGAGGACGGAAATTAAAATTATGCAAGTCTTTATTTTTCTCCTCTATTTCATAGCAGGTTTTTTATTTCATAGGAGGTACTATATATATGCAGTATCTATGCAGTATATATATGCACTATCCCAGGCAATTAACATGAAAAGAAAAAAGACTGATAAAAAGAATAGTCCAAGGGCCAAGTATGTAAGACTGAAAGAACTATTCAACCAAGGTATAACAATCAAGTTTTCCCTGAATTATATGCAATAAGAATATAAAGGTTTGCAGAAGAGATGAATGGGTTACAAGAGAAGTTAAAGTTCTAACATTGCCTCATCACTCCCTTTGTGTCTCTTCAAAAAGAATCACCAGTATCAGAGAACTACTTGCTGCAAGTCAGATTTCTGTCTGTACTCTAGATTTAAGGTGTGCATACATGGCTCTGCAAGCAGTCAGTAGAAGAGACATAGGCAATACACACAACAGTTAGTAATGCTTGACAGACTTCAGTCCGAGTATCAGCAATCCGCACATCAAACTTTTCACAGAAGACAAAGGAAGAAATTCTAAGTTAACTCCCGCTTCAATGCTACTTCTTTCCTTCTAACTCAACTTTGCTGTGAAGGGCAAGAAGAAATCAAGCTTCTCCTGTCCTCCCTCGTACATTTGGTTGTTCATCTGCTGGCAAATATGTGCCAGGTTCTGCTGTACGAATAAAAAGGTTCATAAATTTATAAGTTTTGTCTCACCAGTTTACTCTGAGAGTCAACCTTACTGTATTTATTAAACTTCTTATCCATGAATCCTTGGTCACAACAACTGAAAATCCTAAGTACAAGTAACAATGGGTGTTTAGCAACCTGGAATTACACTGTGTTTGATGGTCCCACTAGAAAATGATAAACCATTGGAATGCATTTATTTTGCACCATAAAACCAGCTGCATAAACACTTCTGGGGCAGAAACCCAGGATTTTATGGACTTAAATGCCATTAGAGGAAACAAGCACTATTCCTCCTTCAGACCTATTTCCTCACCTAACATGTACAATTCTTTACAACTTCTGTACTTGCCTTTGGTCGTGTATGATGTCCTACCATTAATACAGAAATAATTTAAAAGAAAAAGTAGACAGCCTATTTTATTCCTCATTCCACTTCACGAATGCAAGCAGATTTTCTGTAAGAAATAAAGAGGACAGTTTGTTTCAGCCCTTGGTGAGAAGCATCAGATGGTCCCTGTCAACCTCTCTCAGGAGCACAGTAAGTTTTTCAAGAGGTTGCTGCAAAGCCTTAGCTCTGACGGAGACCTAAATGAGACAGATTGAAAGCTGAGCTATGAATCAGAGGAATAAAGACCAGTGGGCTTAAGAAAATAGGGTGTTTTAGGCTGCTTGTGTATTTTTAAAACTTATGACTGGGAAAAGCAATTAGACACACAAAGCAGAAAAAGCATTCAAGTGCCTGCCACTACGTGACTCTCAGAGCTGCTTTCTCACTAGCTGTCATCCAAAATGAAATGACAGTTATGGTTGAGAGTGCTCCATTGTTTTCTGCCCTTACACACCACAAGGGTTTTCAAGGAAGAAGCAATAGTTTGAGTTCAGCTTTAGCTGATCGTTTTGTTCCCAACCAGTTCGACCCTTTACACCAAATAAGCTTCATCTTCAGAGGACCTGAGCAAAAGTTAAAAGTTACTAACGGAAATATCAGCCATCTTTTGGATATGAAAAAACATTCATAACTGAAAACTAGTAAAATACACTAATTTGGCCTTTTATCAGTAGTTGAGCATATACATACCTCTACAGGGAGTTCAGGTTATGTTCACTGCTACCACATGGCCAGTACCATGTACAAAGCAGACAG